TTTAGCATATTTTTGATTAAACTGTGGTTTAGACAGTTAAACATCAGTGGACAGATGACTTTGGTTGCAGTTTTTAAAGCCAGTAAAGTTTGGGATTTTTTTTTTGTACTACCAATAAAAAAAAAACAACTGTCTTTACAAATGCAGTATACGGCAAACATCACTATAAACACATGTGAGGTTTTAGGAGCTCTGACATAACGGCAGGTATTTACCATAGGTGTGATGAATAAGACAAGTGTACGCTTGTTTCCACTCTGAGGTGGGGGTTAAATCTATGGTTAAGAGATCAGACAGGGAGGATCAAAGCACCGGAGGTCTGGAACTCATGCCTACCTTTTCATTAAATAATGTTTGAAAAAAGAGACAAAAACAATATCAGCCAGATACGTTTTATAAAAGTAAATGCGTGGGGAGAAACAGGCCCATGCTGAGGGTTTTTTTTTCTCACAGTTCCCGTTCAGAAACAGCACATACTGACTACTTTAATATTATACCCTCTCTGTAAATAATGTCAAACTGTTGTTTAGTGTCAACAAAGACAATATTGTGATATCAAAGGGTGCGGGGCTGCTCAGTAGGGGGCGTCGACCTCACTTTATTTCAGTATCACAGGGATAGTTGAATAAAAGCAGTGGTCAGAACCAGTCCTAGCCTTCAGTGTAGCTCCAGTAGCAGACCGTAAACCCCCTGCTATTATGGAAGTCACCCCGTATGTACAGTATATAAAGAGTTCATCATCTTAAATACTGGGTTAAAAAACAATAATCTTTGGACAGTTGCTTCTTGTTCAATTAGTATTTCATTAAAAAAAAACTCATAGCATATTCTATATGCTTAAGTCTTTGTGAAGAAAGAATTATCAAAAAAATGTTGGGAATCAAGTTAGACATAGCCACCCTGGTCACTGCTGTCTGCCAGGTGGTAAAATTAGTTTTAATTTTAAAACTACTAGCTTTTCGGTTATCCAGGTTTTAGTAGCCATCAACCTGATGTTAGCATGGAAGACTAGCTACAAAGACATGGACTGAAGTTGGAGGAACTGAATGGGCCACGCAGGTTGGCACGTTTAGCATCCAGTGGGCATACTGGGTGCCAGCCATGGCAATGACAGCACACATGTGGGCCTTTCTGCTGCTGAAGTGCAAATTAGATACAGTTGATTAAAATGTCATTTCACAGTCACTATTGGGGGAATAATAGGAGCACAGGCTCTGAAGATTGGCTCTGGTGTGTGTGAGTGTGTTTGTACTGTATGTATGAGTGAGAATGACAGAGAGCACGAGGCAAAGAATAATGCAGAAGGAAGAAAGAGTGAGTTCGCCTTAATTTGATCCATGAACACATTTTTCACTTATATAGATTCACTTTGACAAAAATGCCCTTTCCCAAAGGACAAGTCTTAGACACGTCATCGACAAAAGCCGAGAACTTTACAGCAGTGGAGCAGTCGGCAGTGCTGCACCATGCCTCGTATAAACATGGATTATCACCTCTGCTTTCTTTTGTTCCAGTCCAAGCGAGTAAAAGGAAATCCAAGTTGTTTGTTTACCAAAAGACGTGTAAATATGACTTGGGGTTTTAGGAACTTCTGCCATGCTGTAATAAAACAAAAGACAAAAAGACTTCAGAGTTTCCCTGGTAACCCTAATTGCATCACAACACCGCACACAGGAGCCAAAGTAACTGAATTTTGATGAAAAGGCAGTGATAATTTACGGCATTGAGAAATTAGTTGCCGTGGCGACGCGTTAATTACATCTCAAATTAACAATGCAAGTGTAGTGAAATTAAATATAAATCATATTTTCTGCATAAATTACAGGGGTTGATTAGTGCGGGCGCCAGGAGAGAGAGGTTGAGATTCCAAGGGCCTGTCACACCCCCACCCTCACTTCTTCCCTCTCTCTGTCTTCCCTCTCTCTGTATCTCTCTCTCTCTCTCTCTCTCTCTCTCTCTCTCTCTCTCTCTCTCTCTCTCTCTCTCTTTCTCTCTCATTCTTTCCCCCCTCTCTTTCTCCCTCTCCTAATGTCGCTGTTTTCTCATTTTGAATGGTTCTTTAAAGACAGGGACTGGATTTCACCATAGGAAGTAGCACAACCTGAACATGTTACTGTCTTACTCTGACTAAAAGTGTATCTTTGCACACATTTCTCTGTTTTTTAACAGATAAATATCTACATATGAACAAAGTTAAAGGGCGTCTGGAGCGCTGTCCTGGAGCCGTACACCACCAAAACAATGTGACTCTAATAATAACCAAGCCTCGATTTGTTAATAAGATAATATTCTGAGAGCATTGCTTACAGTAGCACGTCTGTTCAAAGGATCAAGTAAGCAAAACTAAGCCTTAAGAAAAACAGGTAGGAAATCCATCCATAGTAAAGAACCTTAGATCCCTGTGACTGCTAACAAATTGACTGATAAACATTAATTTTGTATCAATATGTGGATCGTTTCTCAGGAAATATTTGTAAGATTTTTTTTTTAGCACAGAATTTGTTTTAGCACAAACAGAGAAATTAGCAAAACATCAGAGTCCAATCATGAGATACCACATGTCATGAACCTGTCACTGCAAGTTTTCAAAAGCCTTTAGTTAGTTTTCCTACATCTGCGGTGTGTGTACATGCCAAATGAAATTGCGTGTGTGATGGACTACAAGTCTCTGAGTGTTGCACTGTTATCCAATCTTTGGGTTGGTCCAAGACAGGCAGGAGAATGGAGAGAAATAAGGCAGCACAGAGAGGGAAAGTGAATTTCTCCTCCCCACGATTCCTCATGTGGCCCAACTTCCCTTTAAGCATCACAAACAAGCCTCAGGAGTAATGTCATGGAAGGAGGGGAAGAGTGGAGGAAGGTGTGGGGGCGGGGGGATTAAGCTGAGAGAGAAAGCTGAGCACAAACACTACAGCAACAGGAACTAACTTGAGCAGTCTAAATTATTCATACAGCAGATGGATACATTTCCCTAGGATTTTACACTAAAACACACCTATTCAGCTTCTCCCTGCCTTAATATGTCTCCTCAACGGACGGCAGCGGGAATCAAGATAACTATCACTTTATCTTAATCGTTTCATGTCTGATTCATATCAACTTTGAAGAGTGGGAGCCCCTTGACGCCATGATCTCACGTTTGTTCTATTCCATGAGCACAATGAAGGGAGACCATGTTCTCTTTCCTCTATCTTCAAAGACGTAGGCTTCGTTATGACCTTGTCTGAAGGATATTATACAAATCAAAGGGCCCTCTGAGACACATGTCACGGATATTACTGACTACACCTCACACACTTGATGTGAGCCTGTAGGCAGCCCAGAGGTGCTGCGACTGAAAGGAAAACCATTTACAGTTGTATTAGAAATATGAGTGGTATTTTGTAGTATTGCACTAATACTTGGCTTATTTATGTCCAAAACTAAAAAAAAATCCTTTTAAGTGTGCTGACTCTGAGAAGTCATGAAAATCCATTTGTTTTTATTATATCAGGCCATTTTTCATTTTTATATACTTCATATATTTGTCCCAGTGAGCCTTAATCCTGTTTTTAACCCAATGACATTTATTATTGGTGTATTATTTATTTTAGTGTGAGTGAGGACTTTGTGTTTTTATACGACAAAAGCTGAGTGCAAGGAAATTTTTGTCCATTATATTTCAACACACTATATTTCATCTTCATAAATCCCTTGTTTGTCCAAAATTGTATTATGATAATGATTTACTTACAGTACATAATAGATATGTGTCGATAGTTGTGGATTAAATATGGTTTTGGTCATTTAAAATGCTGCCCAAAGTTTTAAGACACCACATTCTGAACATAGTGAAGCTTATTGCACCCTGATTTTATGTATGAAATCAATCAGCAGCTACTTTTTTAAAAAATATTTTTGGTCCCTGAATGATTTAGCATTCACATGTAACACACTTATAAAAAATGTAAGTCTTTTGTTTACAATGTTTCTCCAAGACACAGCCATTAGGGGTGAAAAATTAATCATCAATAGCTGCCGTCTAATCCGCAGCCATAATAATTGCATGTGGCGTAGCACTCCCAACACCCCCGGTCAACAATTTTAACTTTAACACAAACCATCTTGCCTCATTTCACAGTAAGTAACTTCCTGGGCTGGAAAAAGAAAGGTTAAGATGACCTCAGTCCCTGGGGGGCGGGGGCTCCACTGCTGATCCATTTGTAAATGAAGATGACGACTTTTAAAAGGACAAGACATCATTAACAGAACAAGAAGCTTTACTTCTGCCATTTTCCTTTTACCACCCTTCCTTAGCAGAAAATTAGAGTGCATTAATTCAAAACTGCACTTTTTAATGGTTCAATTATGTATCAGCAAAAGCTTAGTTGTGCACTTATACAGTGCACAGAAGGTAACAGACAGACTTTTTTGTAATTTTTTGTTTTTTAAACTGAATGGCATGTAAACCCAAAAAGAAAAGACATTCAAAGAAACCTCAAAAAATACTGCAGACACTGAGCAGATGGCAACAGGGGCAAATGGTGTATGCAAGTAAAGTTGTTGCTTGTTTTTGGCACGCAAAAGACTTACACTGCTCAAAAGTCCAACGTCAGAGACAGAGCTGGACTGCATGTAATGTCTAAAAACACTTTCTTTCTGTCTCATATTTTTGGGACCTACTGCAACTTTATATTTGTGTATGCTCAATGAGAAGAAAAATATTTTTAACATTTTCTGCCTCTTGAATAAAATTGAAAACTGATGTATTTTATTTTTAGGAAGCATACCAACTTCTCTAGAAACGAGGTTTTCAAAATGTTATCTTTAATATACAACCACATACAGGAGTCACCAACCATGAATGAATCCTCCCAAACCACCACACGTCAGTGTGTGACACAGAAACCAGAGCTGGCTGTATGACATTTATCTCAGTGGCATTTCTTAGAACTGTCGAAGATATTGTAGTGGAAAAGGAAAATGTCACTAAAAACAAGCCGTGAACATCAATATCCTACCTGTAAAAGATGCCTGTGTCATTTCTCCTCATTTGTCTTTCTGGTAGGTGTTAAGCAGGTCTCTAGAAGATCTCAGCATCCATCATTGGACACATATGTCAGTCTTGGCTGAGGTGCAGGGGTGGCCTTCACAGCACCGTGTCAATTGTTTCAAAACCCTCTCTTCTCTTAACCTGTCACAGGAAACAGGAAACACCCATAGCTGTGATATTCGGTTCAGAAAAAAATAATTAGTTTAATAAGAGGGGAGGTGCTCCTAAATATCACATAAACTACTGTATTAGAAAGAAATAACTGCAAGACCCCCCTAACAAATTTAAATACACCCTGCAGGATAATGCTGGCTCTCCTGGGGGAAGCAGAAGCTGATGGCTTTGAAACAGAGGGAGGGAATTTTCAGCAGGGCTGCTCAGCATGAGAGATCCTGTATGTTCACAGCTGAGCTTGTTTTATTGAAAGGTAGAATGAACCCAAGAAATCAGTTCTCATGTTTGTTTGGCTTAAAGTGGAGCGGCATTGAAAAAAGAAAAAAAAAGTAGCTCTGAGAAAAGGAGTAGTCCAAACAGTGGAGGAAATCAGATGGTGCCTATAGCAACTTGGAAACATGTGCAGGGGAGATTTGTAGAAATTAATAAATATGGCCTCAATAAAGCTTCAATTACAGCCTGCTACAAATGTGCACAAGCCTAGTTTAACTGCACTGTGCAAATAAGTGCCAGGACCAGAGCTGTTATCAGGTAATGGAGTCAGAGGAAGAGAGAGGGCCTTTGTGAACTTGACACTCCCATTAGGCCCCTACTGGAAAGTGCAGTATTTGATCAGGAGATGGGAATTGAGCAAAAATGAACTGAAACCAGATCCCACATGACTTATTTTCCTGTTGGCTCTCAGCTTTAGGTGTCACTCAGACTTAATAAAGCTCTCAGATTTTCATTTTATCACAGAAAATAGACTGGGCAAAAATAAAATCAGTCGGTTTTGCCCTAATGGAGAAAAGTAATGGCAAGGTGAAACTGACACAACACATTTTATCCATAGTAATACCATCAAAATGAAAGCATATTCACTTCTGGTGTTTTCCAGGAATCAATTCAAACTGAATATTGGCCTTTTTCACCGACTTTATTTCATAATGGTTCCAACAAATACTGCACTTTGGCAATAGGCTGTCACCTCGGCTGATACCAACACAGATATTTCAGCCGATAGAGTTACACTATTCTCCAGCACACACTGTTCCACCGCCGCCAACCTATAACTCTTATTTTATTTCTGCACTTTATACATTAGAGGTACATTACACCCATCCCTGTAGATAGGATGAGTCCACTTTTACACCCAGGTGTTACATTGCAAGGTTAGGTCATTTGGATGGCTATGACCTTTGATGGCTCCATCTTCAATGAAAATGATCTGGTGATCTGCGCATTGACATGCACACAGATGCCCTTGTGCTGTACGTTCACACTACGGTGATAAGGCCAGAGCAATTCACTCCACAGACATTATGGAAATATTCATTGGGGAATCAAGAATTATAATTAGAGCATACTGCCATATTCCCTGTGTTTGCACAGATTCTAGAGGATAAAGCAAAGAGAAGAGTAAGAACAGGATTTTTCCTGATTCAGGGGCATATGGTTGGAATGTTTACCAGGTGTTTATCCAGTCTTGTCAGAGGAATGTTTTGCTTTTTAAAAGAAGTAATTGGATTAGTGAAAAGTAAGAGGAAAATCCAACACTCCCTAGTCCCTAGTGTTCTGATGTGCAATTAATTATTCCAAAGAAGGCAGTTGTTAAACTGTGTATGCCCATCAGCAATAAGATTTTCTGCAGGTTTACCATTCATGTAAATCATGAATAAAATATTTCCTTGTTGACAGAAAATGCTACATATGTTTGGCACATGATTTACCTATGTCTGCAGAAAAAAATACACACATGCATACACAAATATAAACAATTAAACCTGAGCGTAGTATAGAAAAGATTCCTATTGGGGATTTAACCAAAAACTGATATTTTCTTTAAAAATACATTTGACTATTATTTACATTTTTTTTGCTAAGTCTCCCCTGCTGCATAAGGAGATGTCCAATGTCCTGAAGGAAGGTTAAAGTTAAATATAAGATGAAATTCAGTTTAAACAAACTAAATACAGCTGTCTATGCAAATGTGATCTGTCACTTCACAAAGATGTTTGAATAATAAGTAAAAACAGTCAAGCGAGAGTGAAAGTGTCATGAGGATCACGGACGAAGACAGGGTGGTGGCGGGGGTCAAGCCACAAGCTGGGACGGTAGCGTCTCCAGTCGCCCCTGGCGACGATCACGTTGCCATGCTCCGGAACAGACAGGTCTGCTCACACAACAGATGGAACTAATGATGCGAAACAAAAGAGATCATTTCACCGTGGTCCTCCAGGAAGCCACAAAGAACTTTGAATGATGGAACCAGGGAACTTGCGTGGGGTTAGATATGGATTTTTTTTCTTAATGCAGAAGCAGTGAATCAAAATGGCAAAAAAGAGGGAGGGAAAAAATGAAGCAAAAAGAAGAAGAGGGAGGGAAAAAATGAAGCAAAAATCGAAACTTCAATCAGTTCACATTTTTCCACTAGGGACTTTTTTTTAATTCAGAATTTAAGGAATGCGGTAATTACATTACTAAACATGGACCTTGTGCTGCTCAGTTGAAGTGACACTAGGATTTAGGAGACAGTTTTTTCATTAGAAATGCCAAATTAGAGTAAAAGCTCTGCTCACTTTCTGTTCAGCTGGTTTCTAATGTAATGTATGTATTGGTTAGAAAAAATTAGGACAACCCTAGATTTATTGTATTGACAATGTATTCATGTTTATATGATGCATGTATATATGTTAATGTGGTTATGTAGTTATTTAAAGAAAACAACTGAATTTCAATTATACAACTAAAGAAAATCAACCACAATTCAATGTATTTAAATTTGGTCAGATTATTTTTTTAATTAATGTTACAACCCTGACATTGACAACTACTGGGGTAAATTTGACATAACATAGTTTTGCTTATTAAAAGACCTTAACATTGTAACAGTCTGGTGAGCAGGGCTGTAAAACATCCAGTAAAGTACGATTGCAGAGATGCACCAAGACTCACCAGACTCTAACGCTGTGTTGGATAAGAGTTGTAAACAAACTGCTGTGCTCCTGAACTGACAAAAACAAATCAAATTTGAACTCAGGACATTTGCATATCCTGAGGGACAGGATTAGATTTAGAGGTCATCCCTTCCAAGCCAGTCCTCAGCAGAAGCCCATGTAATGTTTCTATGTCAAGTGCATTTATTTGAAGCCTACGTGAGCTCAATCTGTTTTTTATAGCAGACAGTCAGAGAGAGGGAGGGCTGCTCGCTGAACACAGAGCAAGAACTAAAAGAAGCCGGACACCTAGGGATGGGATTTAACTGGGATGGAGGGGAGTGGAAGCCCGATCTAGGCCTGTCCACAGGAGGAGGGGATCAGTGGGAAAAGTTCAGCACCGACACTGGAACAAACAGCAGAGCAGGGCCTGTATTAGAGTCAGGTTAACAGAGATAACGCTATCAGCCTGATCCTCATGGGTACCAAACCCTGGGCCTTACTGGCAAATAAAGCTATAGTGTCTTGACTCTTTGGCACATTAGCTATGATTACAATGACCTTCATTATATCAGCTACCCTTATTACAACATGTAGAAGGCGTGAGTCCCCAAGGAAATGCACAGTGGGGGAAAGAGTAAAGGAAAGCAGCGAGATTCACAAGTAATACTTGAGCTGTGAAAACCAGGCAATGCGACCTGTACTGCCATGTACATGTAATGTACTTATGGCACACGTGAAATGAAGTGTTAAAGAATCCTCTTTAAGAATGATTACAAAATGGAATTTACAGCAAATGGCCCATACTTTTATTATTATATCTTAATTGTTCTATCTGTATTTTCTTAAAAACACATTTACCAGGAATATTATAATCCATTAAAAGTATTAAAATGTTATAACTAAATGAAGTGATAAGTAATTTTTTTATAACAACCAGTTAGGCACTGTTTAATAGGTAAGGTTTTAACCCAAATTTTCTGCCTTGTCTCTCCCTCCACAGGACACACTCTCCTGCACTCCTGATCACTGCGACCTCCCTGTGTCCTGTAAGCCTCTCCTCCTGCTGCATCTTATCCTGCCTCAGACAGGTAAGAGAAATACCACAACACTGTACCTAAATGTAACCAACACACCCTAACATTGGATAGACTGTTACTAGGCCAGTCTGTAGAACCATGCTGTTGCCCAGCAAGATTCTGCCATGTTGAATTTTCTCTAAGATGCAGAGATGGACTGACTAAAATTAACAAGTTATTGGGAATTGCTTCACCTGTAGGCGGCAGCACTTAACAAAACTGTCACCGTCAGCTGCTTATTCATATATTTATCAAACAATGATTCCGCAGGAAAAACACAAGATTTGGTCACGATATAGCCAAGAGTGCACTTAACTGAATCTGAATTTAAACCTTGTTGATCCCCGATGACAGTATGTTTAAAAAAATAAATAAAAATAAAATTGTAACTTAATTATAGATTTATAATGAGCCACTTCACCGGTGCCAAAAACAAGTCCCATACCAAGGCAAACAGGCACCTGCTGAATGCTCCCTGCTCATGGGTTTTCATAGCTTAATTAATCTAGGCCTTGGGGTATCATGACTCGTGCATGCTGCCTGCATGCATGTTTGAGACAATTAAGTTGTTCCAGGAAACAGCGGTGTAACTTTAACACTGGGCAAAGACACCATTTTTTGTGCCATGTAGGCCACATTTTGAGTTTTATAAAAGTCAGCAGAATTATCTTTTATATTTTTTATGATACGGTCAATGGAAAAATCATAAACACTGTGATCTTTAAAGACCCATTTTTATTTTTCCTTACAAACTGTTTGTTTACCATTCACTACCTCACAAACTAGATGGATTTCGTATTGAAATACAGGAAAGTTGTGCTAATATGTATAATGGAGAAAAGTCATTTTTTTGGACCCACATGACAGTTGAAAATCTGTGCTGAAGTCAGGTTTGCTGAGGAGTTATCGACTCTAGCCTCTGCTGAGCCTGTGGCTATCTATTTTCTGTAGATAAACATAAAACAGCTGTTTA